ATATATATATTTATTTATAAAGCTTCACCTGATGCAACGTTCAGAACCATTTTAAAGAGTATGCAATTACATAAATTCACATTTGTGTGACGTTTTTCACACCTCGTCATTCTTTTCTTAATAAAACACGTTAAAAAGTGAAAATTTAGTTTTTGTCCGTTCAGTGTTTTTTTAAAGGGCCAGATGGAGTTCTGCTGGTCCTGGTTCTGGTTCACTTCTTCACATGGAGGTTCTGTGACTTTAGATGTGCGCGTGTGTGCGCGTGTGTGTGTGTGTGTGCGCGTGTGTGTGTGCGTGTGTGTGTGTGAGTGTGTGTGTGCGTGTGTCTGAGCGTGTGTGTGTGCGTGAGTATGTGTGCGTGTGTGTGTGCGTGAGTGTGTGTGTATCTTTGGGATATAAATGAGTGTTAAAACAAAAGATGTTTTTTTTAATCATGGATTTTCTTTCTTAGCATCACTTGAAATAAATACATACAAATAAAACTGTTTCTTTTATTTTGGAGAATAAAGTATTTAGTTCACCTTCAATAACAATCTGAGACACTTATGGTTGAATTTATTATTCAATTTATTGAATTTATTATGAACAAAGTGATAAAAACAAGTAGAATAAGTAATTAATCACACAATAAAAACTATAATAAATAAGTTAAAAACAACTAAACTCTTCTACACTGACTCATTTAAATTAGTTTTATAGTTTTGATGCTTTCAAAATAAGATAAATAGGATTCACTAAAGAATAAGAATAGAAAGAAAACACAATAAAAGAAATAAAATAAACAAAATAAAAGAAACAAAAGAAAAGAAATAAAGAATTAAAAGAAAATATAAAATCAGACGGAAGGAAACCAAATAATTCTGAGGCTCACAAATAAAAACTTAAAAAATGAAGCAATTATTAAAAAATTAAATGTATCTGTGAGGAATAAATGAATAAACCAAGAGATGAATGAGAATATTTAATGATGGTTCAATACTGTATGATCTTCACATATCATTACATTACATTACATTACATTACATTACGTCATTTAGCAGACGCTTTTATCCAAAGCGACTTACAATAAGTGTATTCAACTTCGGTTTTCGAGAGAACAACTAGTCACCAGAAGTAATAAGTGCATCTCCTTTCCTCAAACAAGCATCTAAGAGCATAAACCAGAGCCAACGTACAGTGCAGAAACAAACGAATGCAATAAGTGCCACAAACTAATATAAAAACAATAAGTGCAATAAGCTAGTATGAATACAATAGATGCTAAGTAAGTGCTAAGCGGAAGGGTAGGCCGTCTTGAAGAGGTGAGTCTTCAGCCTGATGAAAGATGGGCAGCGACTCTGCCGTCCTGACGTCAGTGGGGAGTTCATTCCACCACTGTGGGGCCAGGACAGAAAACAGCCGCGACCGGGTCAATCGGCCGCAGGGACCTCTGCTACCTCGGGGCAACCAGTCGCCCCGAGGTAGCAGAGCTGGAGATAGGAAGGAGCTGTTCCTTTCACTGCCCTGTAGGCTAGCACCAGAGTCTTAAACTGGATGTGAGCTCTTACAGGTAGCCAGTGTAGAGAATGGAGAAGGCAAGTTGTGTAGGAGAACTTGGGGCGATTGAACACCAGGCGAGCTGCAGCTTTCTGGACAAGCTCCAGAGGTCTGATGGCCGACGCCGGGGCTCCGGCAAGTAGTGAGTTGCAGTAGTCCAGGCGGGAGATGACAAGAGCCTGGATGAGCACCTTTGCCGTCTCATCAGTGAGGAAGGGGTGAATCCTCCTGATGTTGTAGAGCAGGAATCTGCAGGAGCGTGTAACCGATGCAATGTTTGCTGAGAACAACAGTTGGTCATCCAGGGTCACACCCAGGTTCCTCGCTGTCCGAGTTCATATCAAGTATAGTGTAATTAAAATGGACATTAAATCAGAATATTAGGATTGAACTGTAAAAATAATGTAAGATTGTTTAAAGATTAAAATTCTTAGATTTGGTTCCAATTAAATTGAAAGAGTTAAAGTTCAAAAACGAATTTCTTTGATTTCATTCGTATTTGTTGGTATTTAATGTAACGTAATGTATTTGTAGCGTTTCCTCTCCGAACCAGCAGAGGGCGCTAATGACCCTAAAGCCACGTTTGTTTTTAAACACTTCCGCTAAAACGTGACGTAGAGTTGTCAAGATGGCGTCGCGGTACTACACGGAGATGCAGGAGAGCTTCAGGAACAACAACAAGAGCCGAGAGTTCGCGGCTCACACGGCTAAAGTACACTCGGTCGCGTGGAGCTGCGACGGAAGGAGGCTCGCGTCCGGCTCGTTTGATAAGACCGCGAGCGTGTTCGTCCTGGAGAAGGACCGGCTGGTGAGTGGAGGCTGCGCGCGGCGCTCTGCTAGCATGCTAACGTTAGCATCGTCTCTAGTGAATGAACTGCGTATCTAATAACGTTCTCAATACTTCCATACAATGATTGATGTATATGTGTTCAGGGCGTCGTTGACTCCTCCCTTACGGACAACCTGACATATAATAATATTATTAAAAATATTCGCTTATTGGATATTATCTCAGTATGACTTTTACTTTGAAACATCTCTTAATTGGCACAAATTGTTTGACTTCCTGTATGGGCGGAGTCAGAGATGTCCTCAATACACATCAGTCATTGTGTGGATCGAGAACAATGGTTTCATAGCACCTTAAAAATGAAGCTTTTACTTGGTAACATATCTCCATTGGTACATTTAATATGTGGTCAGAAATGTACTGAACACAAACGCATTAGTCAGTCAGATATTATTCATTTTAATATCTTCATTTTAACCCTCAAATCAAAGAATAAAGACACTTCATCCACAAATTGTATTTTCCCTTTAACTCACGAGATGCAGAGAACATGTTTTATACTTAATGTGAATATAATTAATTTAATCTTATTTCCATGTATGCAGTATGTATATACACTTAGTTTACATCTTATTTTGAAGACCGGATGGTGTCTCACGTTAATCTTTCCGCTAATTTACCTTTAGTAATTTACCTTTAGTAAAGGTCATTAGGTACCCTTTAGGAGTATTGAGACCCTATACCAAGGTGATGGCTTGATCCTCATCCGTAATTAGTTGAGTCTCAAGGTTTGTTAGATGTGTTAAAGCAGAACGTGAGACTGGACGGTGAACTAGTAGGACATATGTGTTGGTGTTGGCTTTGATGGTGTTGCCATTCTCTCCCTAGGCTGGTCTTGAATGCGTTGACTGAGGAGGCACTAACTGTGACTTGACTCAGGCTGTTCCATACTGGTGGTGTTCTACTTGAAAAAAAAGGTTTCCGTCCAAAGTCCTTCGCTCGCTCCCGATCTGTGCCGTATGAATAAGTTTACCGTAAATTTCAGTATATAGGCGCACTAATGGTGCGTTCACACCAAACGCGGCGCAAATTATTCGCGCGAGTAGATTACATACAAAGTCTATGCACAGACACGATGAGACTGCAGTGACGCAAATTTGCGATGGCGTGAATTCGCTAGTTTAGTTTATTGTTTTCATATTTTTAAAACGTCTTTGAACAGATGCTGAATTTAAGAATATTTCGTAGTGATTTTAAATTATTTTGTTTACTCCGTGTGTGTTGATGTTGTTTGTTAAGAAACCAGTAATCTCCCAGAATTCAGTATTTTCCTAACGTTCTTTATGAGGAATGAACAAACCTTAAATAACCATGTTTAAATGTTGTAGATTCAACATATTAGAGTTTAACATAACAGTGAAATAAACAAGCAGCATTTAGCTCCCAAGATAGTGTAATAAGAGAGTTTTTATTAGAGTACCAGTGATGTGGTTTTGTAGTTTTGTGGACTATTTTGTAGTTCTTTAAACCAAAAAACAAACATTCCTGACGTGTGTGTCTCCATCTCCAGGTGAAGGAGAACAACTACCGAGGCCACAGCGACAGCGTGGATCAGCTCTGCTGGCATCCAACCAACCCGGACCTCTTCGTCACGGCGTCCGGAGACAAGACCATCCGCATATGGGACGTCCGGACCACCAAGTGCATTGCCACAGTCAACACCAAGGGTGGGTCCTCAGTTCATAGAACATCTTCATGTCACTTCTTCTAGGAGAGAACATAGTGAGAACATCTTTATGTCACTTCTTCTAGGAGAGAACATAGTGAGAACATCTTCATGTCACTTCTTCCAGGAGAGAACATCAACATCTGCTGGAGCCCCGACGGTCAGACCATCGCTGTGGGTAATAAGGACGACGTGGTGACGTTCATCGATGCTAAGACGCACCGATCCAGAGCGGAGGAGCAGTTCAAGTTCGAGGTGAACGAGATCTCGTGGAACAATGACAACGACATGTTCTTCCTCACCAACGGCAATGGCTGCATCAATGTCCTGAGGTAGGTCTCACTTCTTCTACGTGTTTATATTCTGAGGTACTCTTTAGAGAGAGAGTTTAAGGTGACGTGGGAGAGAGTTTAAGGTGACGTGGGAGAGAGAGTTTAAGGTGACGTGGGAGAGAGAGTTTGAGCTGACGTGGGAGAGAGAGAGTTTAAGGTGACGTGGGAGAGAGAGTTTAAGGCGACGTGGGAGAGAGAGAGTTTGAGCTGATGTTGGAAGACCTCTTATCACTCCTGTAAAATTTGCCTAAAACGCCTATCCAAGGCGTACCCAAAGTAAACCAACAGCTCTTATTGAACCATTGGGAGTACATGTATGGTTTTAGTCTCTATTGAAAGGTAACACTCTGAAGTTTCTTCACAATCAGTCAGAATCACTGTAAGTGCTACTGGCATTGAGCTATGGAGTTTACAACACACTGAAACAGAAGGTTTTTATTTCCACCTGCATTTTTTTTGGCCAACAGATGCCTGCAGTTATCTATGGCTGGGACTTATGAGCTGGAAAACACAATGGTACCATAGCATGAAGTCATAGTACCTGGTAGAAGTTCAAATTTGATAACAATACGACAGACAATGAATATTTTACACATAGTTTACTAAGGGTAAGTCTGCGTAAAAGCGCTTTTGGATACTCGTAGTCACCAGGCAAAATGCCTAGCCTACGATAAACTACCTTTTCCTACCTTTTCGTTTTTCGAACGGCAGCTTATTCATGTCGATATATGGTTATCTACAACGTATTTAACCATTGTCAACTTTCACAGATTCTTGAAAATTGTCAGTAACCTGACTTTGGTGTTCAAGATCGGTACCTCACTGACGGTGCGAGATTTGAGTTCCCAAACGTTTTCCCAGCTTGCTTTGCGTGAATCTGCATAGCGTTCTCTTCGTAATTTCATTGGCTATATGAAACCTGGGTTTCAACAAGATCTGTTGCAATTGGCTCGAGCTTTACTCAAAGCAAGAGAGGCGGGCATTGTCTTTCAAAGCGGACTCTCGTTGGCTGTTCCAGAATGTGACCGGGCTATGGAAGCTCCTATTGGGTCAAATGAGGTGTCAATCTAACCGGCAGAATGCAGGCGCCATTTTGAGAGAAAAAATCCGCTTTGTTGACATGGAAAGTGAAATTATGATCGAAAATAGATCACTATTTATCATATCTGCCGGCTAATTTGAAATGATGCAACAGCCCCCCGTGGGTGTTTATGGACGTACTAATGTGTTTTGGACTAAATCTTTTACTGGATTGGATCGTGTGGACCCTTAGCAATCTAGCAAGACCTGTCTTTACAGAGCAGTCGTGTACATGACACAAATGTACACTGAACACGGAGTGTTGGAGAGAGTTTAAGGTGACGTGGGAGAGAGAGTTTAAGGTGACGTGGGAGAGAGAGAGATATTAAGCTGATGCTTTAGAGCAGTGTTTTTTAACCTTTTCTGAGCCGCGGCACATTTTTTACATTAAAAAGATCCCGCGGCACACCAACAACCAAAAACGTTACAAAATGACACCTTTTAGCATAATACAGCATATGCCACGGTGTCAAACTCGATCCCAGGGAGGGCCAACATAAGAAATTGTGACTACGTTGAGGACCAAATAGAGTCACCATGTAATAAACAGGACAGAAGGGATATTGGACAAAGTGCAAAAAGAATACATGTTGAGGTAGGCTACATTATTTTATGCATACGTACCAGAGCCAGATGTTTGGCATCTTTTCTTGGCTGCCAGTTCATTAATGTCTGGGGTTAGGTTCTGTGGAAACCCTCAAGATGGAGTGAAGGTGCATCAGTGAGACTCCTGTGTGGGTTTGTGTTCATCTTCATTACAGAGAACAGCTGCTCACACAGGTATGTGCTTCCAAACATGCAGAGCATTTGAGCAGAATGGAGGCGGAGTTAAGGCAACGTTTCGGGGGTGAAGCTTGGAAACTGTGCAGCGCCCTCAGAGTCATACTTTACCTTGAGTGTCATTACACTGGAGGTCTATCAGCTCCACAGGTGCTCTTTCTACTGCAAACGGATTGTTTATCAGCAAAATGCGCAGTCGGGAGATAAACATGATATTTTCTGGTGGGCCGGATATATGCTGACAATTTAATGACAAGTCTCTAAATGTGTTGATCCTTACGAGGCTTTTCATCTGGGTTATGTTGTCCAGGGCCCAGTTCAGAGTCTGCATTTTTCCTTTTCAAATATTTCTCAATCGCTGTTCGTCTCGTCACCGCAACCTCGTCATTTTATTCTACTATCCTAAATGAACACGGTCATTATCTACTGCCACCCACTGGCATGGAAGAGTATTTATTACTTAGCCAGCCACTATATTGCAGCTCAGATGCTCAACAATGGCAAAGTATTTGCAACAACTAAATAATACATTTTTGGACTCATGAAGTGAAATTGGACATTTTCCCACTGCACACCTGACGATCTCTCACGGCACACTGGTGTGCTACAGCGGTTGAACATCACTGCTTTAGGGAGAGAGATTAAGCTGACGCTTTAGAGGGAGGGAGATTAAGCTG